GTCAATGCTCAACCACTGAGCCATACTGGCTGGGCGAATAGATGTTTCTTCAAAGAAGATATACAAATAGCCCAAAAGCATTATAAAAAATGCTCAGCATCACTAATCATCAGGAACTGTAAATCAAAACCAAAATGCGATATCACCTTACACCTGTTACAAAAATAAAATAACAACTGTTGGCAAGGAGGTGGAGAGGTGAGAACCCTTGAGCACTGTTGAAGCCACTGGAATAAAAGTATAAAGATTCCTGAAAACAATTAATAAAGAGAATTTTCATACGATTCAACAATACCACTTCTGGGTATATATCTAAAAGAATTCAAAATACACCCTGGCCAGTGTTGTTCACTGTTAGAACATCAGCTGGCCCACCAAAGGGTTCAATTTCCAGTCAAGGGCACATGCCTGGGTTGCAGGTTCATCTCCTGCCCTGACTGACTGAGTATGAAAGTCAATGTATCTCTCATATCGATGTCTCTCTCTCAAAATTCAATGGAAGAAATATCCTCAGGTTAGGATTAACAACAACAAAAAACGCACAAAAAAAGTAGGTTTGGTTCATATAGGAAATAAGAGACTAATTAATAATAAAAAATAAACTGTGTTTTGCATACTCAACTGTAAACCCTACTTTGAAAAAAAGAAGGGGAAATCCTGTTATGTGGATGAACCTTGAGGACACTACACTAAATGAAATAACCCAATCAGAAAAAGACATATTACAACTCCATTTACATGAGGTAGCCCTAGCTGGTTTGGCTCATGGGATAGAGTATCAGCCTGCGGACTGAAGGGTCACAGGTTCAATTCCAGTCAAGGGCATATACAAGTTGCAGCTTGATCCCTGGCCCTGGTTGGGGTGCATGCGGGGAAGCAACTAATCAATGTATCTCTCACATCAGTGTTTCTCTCTGTCTCTCCCCCTCCCTTTCACTCTCTCTAAAAATCAATGAAGAAAAATAAATAAATAAATACATACATACATAAATATCAATGGAAAAATATCCTCGGGTGAGGATTAACAACAACAAAAAGACACATGAGGTATCTATAGCAATCAAATTCATAGAAACAAAAACAGAATGGTGGTTGCTGGGGCTGGTCAAAGGAGGAAATGGAAAGCTATTGTTCAATAGATATCGAGTTTCAGATATGCATGAAAAAGTTCTAGAACCCTCCCCAGCCTTCCTGCTGTCGTTTGACAGCCTGTTCTATGCTTCTCTGCCTCTATATCTATTTTTGTTCATTAGGTTATAATGTCCTTTATTATCCATAAATGAGTGAGATCATGTGGTATTTTTCTTTCACTGACTGGCTTATTTCCATATTATAGATGGGTCCAGTTCAGCATCAGGCTAGCTGCAGT